TTCGAGCAAAGTTCGATTGGTCGTGATGGATCAGTTCGTTTGCTTGCTATATTGCCGAACTTATCAAGCCTTGACTTTTATTTTTGGGATCATATAAAAAGCAGGTATATAGAACCCTACTGGATACTGATAAAGAACGCATAACTCATATTGCTGTAGCTACCAAGTATATAAAATTCTCAGTAAAAACTTGTTAATTGTAAATATGTTTAATAACTTATCATTATAAAGGCGTATTTTCTCAGAATAGGTGAATATATTGACAACATATTGATTCAAATAAGAAAGAGACCTTAATTTTCGGCAAAAACCTCCCTGTATAAAATGTACAACAGCAATATTTGTAAAAATGCAACGGTATTTGGAAAGTTCATACTAACGGTGAAGTGAAATTTTTGAACTGATATTTTTATTATATCAGTCAAAACGGCGTTGTTATAGATTCTATTATCCTAATCTTCAGATGCTGCTAGAAGCACCCAAGCTATTTACAATCGTCAAAATCCCATTCATTTCTGTCTTCTGGGTATTCAACTCAATTTTGCAAATTCTGTGTTACTAATTCGGCATATTAAGCGTATCCTTTCGTTTTGGCAAGTACACCCAGAAACTTCCATTTAATTTAACCACTATCCATATCATCTGAAAAATGAACAAGCTTCTGTATGCTACACGAAGAGGGTGTTAAAGCAATGTGATTCTTGCCCAGAGATCTGAATGTAAGATAAAGATCAATTCCAAGTAAGCAAGGACAAGATTCGTGTTATCGCCTGTAGTGGTTAGGAAATAGGTGAATTGCTTTTTGGAATATCAAGCGATAGCTATAGCCTATATTATAGCCTGCATAGTCTCGTGTAAGCAAACCAATCTCATTTACCAGCAATACGTCTGTGTCAATACAAACTGGGTTATGACCATTTATTGTGTTGAGGTGAACGTTTTGCAACCCTACTGGTTTTGGTTTTGACCAACAGAAATACACACAAATAGCCTTTTGTGATCTCAGCAAGGCTTTTGATGTGGTACACCACAGAATTTTAAGAGAAAAATTACATAAATATGGCTTCAAAGCTACTGTATATAATTTATTAGCCTCTTACCTGGATCAGAGAGAACAAGTGTATTGGAAAGGAATACACTCAGAATGGAAATCTGTGGGGACGGGTGTACCTCAGGGTTCTGTGCTTGGGCCTATACTTTTTCTGATATATACAGTGTGTCCCCGGATTGTGTCCCCGTAAGGTATAATTGACGATAAATTTTTGAATTCAAATTCCATCTTCTGCAATTAAAGTCTGGATGTCATAAAACGAAATATAACCAAGTTTTACGTCAAATGTCCTCAAAATACCAAAGTTAACGCAAGAAGTTATAGAATCGTTGCAGGTGAAGTGGTCTTTCTGAGCAATGTACAACAAAAGTTGATTAAGATAAAATGTTTGTTATGTTAAATTATAGCGATATGCCGAATTTTATTAATTTAGGATATAAAAGCAAACTGCAGATTTTTAAATCATGATTAACAAAACATTTTCGATCTAAACTAAATTAACATAAAAGCTTATGCAATGATATCACCAATACTAACACATAATTCAGCCCTTTTCCGACATTGTTTATAACTTTTTCTAATATGGTCCAACGGAATTTCTCTTATCACAGTTTCAATTTTTTGTTTTAAATGATATAAATTGTTATTAAAATTTTCAGTGTACACTTTTTGTTTTACTCCTTGGACTCCTTGACTCCTTGGCGGCCATGGTTGCGGACCATATCAACCAACCCATTTTTTTCAAATAACATATTTAAATAATTTCTAATTAAAATGGTCGAATGTGGGCCGCAACCATCTTGTTGAAAATATAATTTATTGCGTTTTTCTAAAAGCACGCCGTGAAGATAATTAAATAAACAATTTTCTAATATTTGCAAATATCGGTATTGATTCAAATTGCCGCTTATAAAGTAAGGTCCAATAACACAGTCCCACGAAACACCAGGAATACTGGTCTTTGACCAGAATCGACAATGTTGTGATATAACCATTCCATTAGTAATGAACGATGCTTCGTCCGAAAATATTAAGTTTTTTAAAAAGTTCTGTCTTTCAAAATTTTGTATCTAACAACATCTAAAATCTTTTTTTCCTTCCTTTTATTTTCCACATTGCCCATTTCCGAAATTTTTTTAACGACTCTCTTAATTGTTTTTTTAACTACTAAAAATCCAAATTTTTCCTCAAATTGCCTCAATTTATCTTCAATTAATATTTGACAATAGACTAAAGCTAAGCTATCAAATGTTAATTGTTAGTTCACTCAGATCTCTCTGTCTATTGTAAAACGGAATATTAAAAAAAATGTTCAAGAAAAAATTCATTTTTTCTTTTATATGCTAAATTAATAAAATTCGGCATATCGCTATAATTTAACATAACAAACATTTTATCTTAATCAACTTTTGTTGTACATTGCTCAGAAAGACCACTTTACCTGCAACGGTTAACAAACTTCTTGCGTTAACTTTGGTACTTTGAGGACATTTGACGTAAAACTTGGTTATATTTCGTTTTGTGACATCCAGACTTTAATTGCAAAAGATGAAATTTGAATTCAAAAATTTATCGCCAATTATACCTTACGGGGACACACTGTATAAACGATCTGCCAGAAAATGTGAAGGCACTTTCCATTTGTCTCTATGCAGATGACACGTCTGTTATCAACCAAGGAAATGATATTCAGCAACTTAAAAATAAAACGCAAGCATCATTAGCCGATGCAAAAAAATGGTTTGACATGAACTAAATTAAATGCAGATAAAACCAAAATACTAACTTTTTCTACAAAAAGAGACAAAGACACTGAAATTCAAAAGATAAATTTTCTAGGCATTATGAATGAGGCATTATGAGGCTCTCCGAAACTTTAACGTGGTCGGACCATGTAACAAATTTAAAAAGTAAATTATCAAATTCAATATACTGTATAAAGGTTATATCTAAAAATCTATCGACAAATGAAACAAAAAGAGTCTACTTCGCTTACTTTCACAGCATGGCAACGTATGGCATATCTATCTGAGGAGGGTCAAATGATATGTACGACATATTTAAAATGCAAAAGAAAGTGATACGGATCTTGTCTAGGCTTGACTATATTGGAAGCTGCCGAACAGTTTTTAAAACCTTAAAAATACTAACTATCCCAGGTTGTTTCATATTTACCTGCCTAGTTAATGTTCATACGAAGAAAGACACATTCCCAAAGAACGAAGATCTACATATCTACAACACGCGCCATGGAAGTAGTCTGTACCATATCACAGAATCAAAAAATCCCAGAATACTTTCAACTATATATCGGTCAAATTGTACAATGCAATGCCATCAAAAATAAAAAAGTCAATAAAATTATTGTTATTTAACTGTGGGGGAGTAAATTTTTATTTTCTTCTACCCACACAACGAAGTAATCCCGGATGCCTGAAGTAACATGTCACCTAGAAAGTTTAAGAAATGGGCTAGAATACAAGTAGGTATCTGGGGTTCATGTGCTAAAACGCTGAATGTTGGAACAATGGGAATAGAGTTAGTCTCATCACAAAATCGGAAGAGGTTAAAAGATGTGCTCGATACTCCACTGATAGTGGCAGTGCAGGAAAACCCAACTGGTGTGTGTATGTATATCATAGGGTATGTACTCTTTCATTCTTCTTGCAATGGAAACTGTATCTCTTATCTTGACCTGGAAGTATTTATTTTTCAAAAAGAAAGCCGTTAGTTTTACCCACTTTTTATCTAGGTATGTATGTTCGACCATCTTAACCAGTAAGTCATCTTTCCAGATAAAATCATGACATCTAATAGAACTGTAATAGTATTTATTCTGGTCAAGTTCCAACTTGCTATTTAGATTCGCAATGCAGCTTTTCTACGATCCTTAAATAAAAATTATTTTTTTTAGAACTAGACCTTTTTTCATGTCGCTCCAACATAGTTCTTTCCGTTACGTTCAACAACCCCGTCAGAATCCTACATCTTATTCTCTCTACTAACATGCTTTGAGGTCCAATGCCACAACATCAATCCCACACCGAACAATATCAATTGATCCAGTCTTATTAAGGATAAGTGATATGACATATCTTTTGCTGCAGTTAACAATTCTTCACCTAGAGTGTAGGCTTTTCCACACCGGTATTATTAAGCTAGATAAAAAAAAACGTTGTATGAGTTCTTTTTTGAGTAATTCCTGTAAAAGTAGAGATAATTTTCTTTGGTTAATAACTTTTTGAATCTTAGAAGTAGTTTTTTTCAAATTCTTGCAATTTGCATCTTTGACTATCCATCATCAAATTTAATTGCCATTTCATTTCCATAACAAATTTAATGTTTACGTGACTCATAAATTATATTCTTTAATTCCCATCATTCTTTTCCAGAAAGGAATTCCAATTAATTATGGCAAAAAAATCTCGTTTTGCTTAGGTTGGGTCCAAGATTCTTTTTCAATATTATTAAAATTCGTCGAAACTTGTAATTTTAACCAAAATTCATTATTTATTTATAACCCAAAGAAATATTATTCATGAATTAGTAATGCAAAAGCATAAAAATAATTTAATGAGAAATTTGATAAGAAAATGATCACAAATTTGATAATGTCTTTCAATGTAGAATTTTCTTTTAAATCCTCTTTACCATAGAATAATTATCTTTTTTAAATACTTTTTTATGAAGGAATTCCCAATAATGACGTCCATAACGAGAATGAATTAGCATACGTGGGCGAACGCTGCCGTTAAATGCTTTTAAAGGCTAAAAGGAAGAATAATCCCGGATAACCATTGGCATATACAAGGTTATTTACGGAAAGTGGACGATGACCTTGCCACGGGGCCAACACACAACCGTACTCTCTGCTGCTGGTAATCCCACCACCATTCGGCAAAACCAAGAACGTTGCTCGCTGTTCTCCACTCAGCCTTCCTTCCTGTGGTCGGTTCACCTAATGATTCAGTCACTCGGCACATTCCGATTTCATACAAGCAAATTCGTTATTGTGCCATAAATCATTTTAATAAATCAAAAATATTAATCTCAACTTTTGTGATTACTTAAAAACTTTTAGTTTTTTAATTGATAGTGCTTATCTTCCTGTTTACCAGAAAGAAAAGAGGAAGATTGAAATTTAAGTGTCGTTGAATGAGGGTTTTTAAGATAAATTAATCCAGTTGGTAATTAATTAAAGTAAGTAGAGTAAGTTGGTTGGAGAGAGGTTGCTATTCTTAGTATATCGTAGGCTTACACTCCGTGGCATTTATATATAATTATTGTTAGACTTCAACAGGTAGTAAATACTTACTGCACACTCCTTGTTGGTTTGCATTGGTGTTTAAGCAACCTTGTGCCAATAAACCCATGGTCAGCTTCTCATGGAATTCTCGTGGTTTAATAGCTAACCATGGTTAATCAAAAACAATTAAATCAAATTATTTTAATTTACCATCAATATATTAATTAAATAAAACTTTTAATTAATATGTAATGATAGACCACACATGAAGAAAACTAAAAACGTTGCATTACCAATCACCAATACAGTCTAAAAATCCATTGCACATTCAGTAATTCTTCCTTTTTCATTCGGCCATAGGCATTCAACACGTTTTGAAACGCAACGGCATCTAGGCTGCGAAATTCTTGCGCACGTATCCAGTTTCCTAATCCAATTTAATTGTTTTACACAACCAAAAAAAAAATAAATAAATAAATAAAAACAATTTGGAAAATAACAAATTTAAAAAAATTAACATTCTAAGTTAAATTTTCTTTTGTGTGTAAAAGTCACGTAGATCAATTCTTGTGTAACACCCTCGTATAATTTTCCTTTGTCTCCGCGGATTCAATGCGGGTAAATTTAGATTCGGTTAACATTCGATGATTTCACAACAATCGTTTCTGTACTAACTTTATTTTGTTTATTCTTTTTTTTTTTGTTTTTGTTTCAAAGAAATCCACTCTCTTAACATTTCTTTAAATTATACGAGGATAATGTAATAGTGCTGCAGACGTGTGCACTGAAGCGAATCCATAAAAGGTTGACGTCACTTTTATTCTATTGTTCAATTATAAAATGTATTTCATATTCAAAACATATTAAAATTCTAATTAGCTCTATACATACAGATTTCTCATACATTTCATTTAAAGACATTTTATTTAAAGAGAAATAGCAATGCAATACTTTAAAAGTCTTTCCGTTCTGAAAATACAGTTCATTGCTTGGTAAGCCTAAGCAAGCTTCTTGTATTAATTCTTAGATAAACACGTTTGTATACATAAGCAACTAAATTTGAGCCGTTTATTAAGCTTTGCGTCGTTTTCTTTTGGCAAATCTTTCGGTTGTTCTAGGTTGCCCGTTGTCGACTGATGTTGCTGGCTTAGTCTTTGCTAAAATGTTTTTCAGTTCATTTAGCAATTGAATAAGAGATCTTTTCAATTGCTCGGGGGCTAAGCTTAAAGATAACTTCTTTACATAGTCTCCTTTTGAGTTATATTCGTTGCCATGGCCCAAAGAAATAATTGGACCGCGTTATACATCACTTGACCAAGCGATATTTTATCGTTTTTTAAAGATTTTTATGCTGTCTGGTAGGTAAAGGTGTAACTTATCTTAGAAAAAATGCAGAATACCGAAAGACCTATAATAGTATTTGTTTTAAAGGATAAAGCTAAGCGCCAATCACCTTATACGATATTAGATACACCAAAAAATTCTACAATAGAAAAAATAGGTGAACCTACAATTTCGGGACAGTGTGGTTTTCTGGATGTTAGCATAAAATTAAAAGTTTATGTCTTTTATTTTATATAGAATTTAAGGGCTAAACATTCGGGTTTAGTCGTGAAAAAACTTTCAGTTGTCAATGTCACCTTTAATTTTATTATTATATTCGTAATCTTCATAAACTAACCTTTAAAGTGAGTCCAAACTTGACGCATTTATCTCAAAAAACCAGAANGCTAAAATGTTTTTCAGTTCATTTAGCAATTGAATAAGAGATCTTTTCAATTGCTCGGGGGCTAAGCTTAAAGATAACTTCTTTACATAGTCTCCTTTTGAGTTATATTCGTTGCCATGGCCCAAAGAAATAATTGGACCGCGTTATACATCACTTAACTAAACGATATTCTATCACTTTTAGAGATTTTCTGGTAAGTAAAGGTGTAACTTATCTTAGAAAAAATGCAGAATACCGAAAGACCTAAAATAGTATTTGTTTTAAAGGATAAAGCTAAGCGCCAATCACGTTATACGATATTAGATACACCAAAAAATTCTACAATAGAAAAAATAGGTGAACCTACAATTTCGGGACAGTGTCGTTTTCTGGATGTTAGTATAAAATTAAAAAGTTTATGTCTTTTATTTTATATAGAATTTAAGGGCTAAACATTCGGGTTTGGTCGTGAAAAACCTTTCAATTGTCAGTGTCAACTTTAATTTGATTATTATATTCGTAATCTTCATAAAATAACCTTTAAAGTGAGCCCAAACTTGACGCATTTATCTCAAAAAACCAAAAAGTTCGAATTTTCAACTTTTAATTTTAACATTTGTCAACTTCATAAAAAATCTTTTAAAATGAGTCCAAACTCGACATATTTACCTTTAATATTAATGGAAAACAATCACTTCCGGTTTGAAACGTCAATGTCAATTTTGACATATTTGACATCTGCATTAAAAAACCTTTAAAATGAGTCCAAAGATGACGCACTTATCTCAAAAAACAAAAAAGTTAGAATAAAAAAACATGAAACCCGAAGTTAGCAACAATAAAGATAGCAATTTAATTTTTAAATATTAATACCAACCTTAATTTTTTTTTTTTTTTGTAGCAAATATTAAGACATTTTATAAAAATTAAGAATATGTCAAAATGACATTGACATTTCAGACCGGAAGTTGCTGATATCTCGAGTAATATTGGAATTAAACGTATCATCTTTGGACTCATTTTAAAGAATTTTTCACGACGATTACAAAATTGTCAAAATTGACGTTGACATTTTTAACCGGAAGTTGACCATAACTTCATTAATATTGAAGATAAATATGTCGTGTTTGTACTCATTTTAAAGAATTTTTAATGAAGATTACAAATATGTCAAAATTGAGGTTGACATTTTAAACCTGTAGTTAGCTATCATATAATAGAAGTTTTATAACTCAAATTAATCTAGTGTTAGTCACTTTTCCGCATTTTCTTTTTATTTTTAACGTGTTTTTTGGGTTGCTATATTCGCATTTATCTCAAAAAACCAAAAAGTTCGAACTTTCAACTTTTAATTTTAACATTTGTCAACTTCATAAAAAATCTTTTAAAATGAGTCCAAACTCGACATATTTACCTTTAATATTAATGGAAATACAATCACTTCCGGTTTGAAACGTCAACGTCAATTTTGACATATTTGTCATCTTCATTAAAAAACCTTTAAAATGAGTCCAAACATGACGCACTTATCTCAAAAAACAAAAAAGTTAGAATAAAAAACATTAAACCCGAAGTTAGCAACAATGAAGATAGCAATTTAATTTTTAAATATTAATACCAACCTTAATTTTTTATTTTTTTTTACTATTTTTTTTTTTGTAGCAAATATTAAGACATTTTATAAAAATTAAGAATATGTCAAAATGACATTGACATTTCAGACCGGAAGTTGCTGATATCTCGAGTAATATTGGAATTAAACGTATCATCTTTGGACTCATTTTAAAGAATTTTTCACGACGATTACAAAATTGTCAAAATTGACGTTGACATTTTTAACCGGAAGTTGACCATAACTTCATTAATATTGAAGATAAATATGTCGTGTTTGTACTCATTTTAAAGGATTTTTAATGAAGATTACAAATATGTCAAAATTGAGGTTGACATTTTAAACCTGTAGTTAGCTATCATATAATAGAAGTTTTATTACTCAAATTAATCTAGTGTTAGTCACTTTTCCGCATTTTCTTTTTATTTTTAACGTGTTTTTGGGTCACTTCACATTGGTTAAAAAGATCGTCGATTTTTAAGCCACATGATGATTCTTGAATTTTTCACAAGTTTCTTAATATTTCTTTAGTTCTTAAATTTTAAAATGTAAACTTATAACACTTCCTTAATTTCATTTTACAACTTTTTAAACTTTAATTTTGTAAATTAGTAACTAATAATCTGATTTCGACTTTGATAAGTGATCTTTTTTAACATTAAGAAACATTAAGAAACTTATTTGTAAAATGGATACGATGAGAGATGTTAATCTATTTGTAGAGTCTTTGAAGATGGCCAAGCCTCGAGACTGGTTAGACTTAAATTCTATATGAAATAAAAACCAGTTTAAAAGAACAAAATCAAACTGTAGATTATTTTCCTCAAAAATTTTTACACGAATCGTCAGCATTTTATCTCTAGTTTTAGTCATTCAATTTATAACACGATTTACAGAAACACCCTGTATAATCGTAAAACGTAACGAGTGACCAAGCAGCTTCTGTGCTTGTAATAGCTGTCATCAGTGTTCTATGATAAAAGTGGACAGGCACCAAACAATTTTCAATAATTTGAGCCTGTCTATACTGAGAAGTCTTATATTTGTAGCGAGATGAAAACGATGAAACCGTTTTTCTCAACATTATTACGTTTTTATGCCATTATAGTATGTAGCTGAATAGGATTTATTTTGCGTTTTGATGGAGACATTTGTTTCTTCTCTAATTCTTTTACAAGCTTCAAATTTGCAAACAAATAGTGTCTATGATAATATCTTCTACACATCTATAAATTGGCTCAGAAAATTTTATGACAATATTTTATACAGAATTAAATAGTTTGAATAGTCCGTAAGATTGTTGATAGCAACATTTCTCGATGTTAGTGATACAAAAAAAGGTTTTTACGATACATACCATGATTTGCGTCAATCCTCCAGCATATCATTGCGATTACTTCTTCGGTGGTTACTTTTTCTTTTGTACCAGAATCATTAAGTTGTTTTGACGATATATTCTTATTGATTTCTGTAGTTCAAGAGATTTTCTGTAACTCTGCCAATGTAGTTGGCATGAGCTACAATTCTGTTGTCCAAATCCGTATAGCTAGATCTCTATGGACATAGAGAATTTCTTGTATACTTGTTTTGACTCAACATGTCGCAAACTAGTATTAAAACACCTTTTTGGATTAAGAAATGATCCATTAACTCAATGGATCATGTAGTCGCCTCATAAGAAGGCAAAGGTTTCTCCCTCATTATAACATGACGAACCTCTTTGTAGTCGAGTTTCTTTTTCTTCTCATCTAGTGTTAGCCATATTTTGTTTTATAATGCTCAAAACGGTTTCAAGTCTGCAAAACATGTCATATTACTGACAGTTTTAGTTAATAAAGTATTAATACCAAATCACAGCAAGAATTAATTACTTCATATCTAGTTTTAGAAGTGTAAACTTTTGTTTGTGTTTGTTTTATAAATCACAATTTTTTTTTGACTGTTTTATTTGTTTTTGCATAGAATCTATTTTTTCTTGCACCAACAGCTATTGGTAGTGTAGTTTTGCTACAAGTACACTTTACAAAATCTTGTCCTATCCCAAATGAATATTTTGTTGCAGAGTAACGAGATTCTTAATTAAATTAATATCTTAATTTATTTCCATTTCAAGTCAAAATGTTTGGATATAAATATCACATTCAGTTTAGAAAAACTAGTTTAGCCTGAATTGGGGTTTGACATGTAACATATACAAGTCGAAGAACTCATTAAACCTAAGTTCTTGGATATGGATGTATGGGCCATAAGTTTTATATCTGTTGCTCCTAGACCTTGTCCTTTTAAAAATACATAGCCAATTCCCATAAATTATCTACAATTACGTCTATAGAGATTTTTTGCAAAGCTGAGCAATTCTGAGATCTAGCCAATTTCCTTAGTTTTCTCTGCATCATATTCTCCAATTATGTGAGACCTATAATCTTCTTCTCAATCATGACGCTTTTTTGCATCTAATACTTCATAACGATGACAAGTTTGGCGCTGATCTTCTTATGTTTTTTACACATGTATGAAAGCTTCCTTGAACTTGTTTTTATTGCAGAATGACGTATAAAGTTTATACATCTTGGAAATGCTTCGTTTTAAGTCAATGTAAAGTCTCTTGATCAACTTTGCAGTGTAACGGCAATAGATTGTAGGAAAACTTCCAATGTGACAGCTAACTCTTGCAAAATTAATGTCGGGTATTTTGTTTGCAGAGTGTCTTTTTCAATTTTTGTCAAAATTACATCCATTTTTCCGTTAATAACTTTAATCCTACATTTTTCTTAAGAAATAGACTGAGGTGCTTTAGAAAGTTTTAATTTCCTTTTTCCAGTGAAGTACCTTTTTCTAACTTCTCCTCTTCTTCCTCTTATAATAAGCCTCAGCTCTGTCTTTCTTCTAGGTCTAGTGTTAGTTCTAGTTTTACTTGATTTTTTGCAAATTCGAGCTAAGTAAAGGTTTTGACCAATGTCAAAGCTAAATCGTATTCCGTATTTGTATTTCTCTAGATTTGGATTTTTCTTTGATCTTTCCAAATTTCGGGTTGAGTAGACTTTTTGATCAAATTTTTACAGTTCAGAGTCTCGACTGGGATACTGAACTCCTGCTTTCATACTATCTCTTCGGGAAACGTCCAGATTATCTCAGCCTATGTGGTTTTTTCCTTTCTATAGATTTTCGGCAAACTCTGTGCTGGAATTGTGGTCTCTGCGTGCTCTCCGTCTGCCACGCGCCCATCCGAGTATTTGTTGCAACCCACATTTTTGCTGTTATCTTCGCTTCTTATGGGATTTAGCAAAGAGTAGCTACCAATTACTCGAAGAGTTTTCATCACTGGTCTTACAATCGTCTGATAGATAGATCATCATATTATTTCGTGCTCTTTAAACTTATTATGTCATCACATATCGGTGTTTTATCAGATACTTTTTAATCTTTCCTTCAAATCCGACGCAGTAAAGTGGCTATATCGATATCTTTATCATCAATATCTTCATCAGAACAAGAATATGATACAAGAATAGTTTGTTAAGGCCCAGAGTGATACTAGAATTAGTCACAAAAAAAGGGATATTACAGATTTTTTCCTGATGATAGCATAAGGCGAAACCGGTCAAATCTGAAATATTAAAAATATGTTAATACAAAATAAATTTTCTTTTTATTATAGGAGGAAAATATCATGAAGGGTTGGTTTGATGCCTTTAGAAGTAACGGTGGCCCCACTCTCTACAGTTTTAATAATCGAACGGCTGTAACCGGAGATGTTACCCTTATTACTTTCTTATCAATTTTTGTCACTTTATACGTAGCGTTTTTAATCATTTTTCCAGGAATACGAAAGCAGGTGTGTTAAATTATTTTTCTCATAATGACAATGTTTCTAATATAATTTTTTTTAGAGATTTACGACATTTCTCAGCGTTACCTTGAGTTTATTCACCGGGACAACAATTTTAGGTGAGATTGTTATTAACTTGATGGTACCCGCATTTCATTTTAAATTTATAATTTTTTTCTTTGTTACCGTTATCCTTGATAAACCCACACGAATCCGTTTCGAACGAGATTAAAATAGATTAAAATTAATTTACATCTCCTTCTTTAGTGTCACTGTTCGGTTCTGATTGGCACGTGGGCGAAAATGCAATCCACGCACATTATAGAGCGTTTTCGAAAGATGAATTGCGAGCCAATTTGAAAGTCTTGGTAGGACTCCAACATGTTAACGTAACACTTAGAGGTAAACAACAAAAATGTTTTTGCGAAAATTATTACAAATTTATTTGTTTTTATTGCAATTTATAGCGGATAATTCGAGTGTGGACATAGATTTTAACGAAAGATTTTATTTTTATTCTTCATGCCAAATGTACGATAGTTATAAACAAGCTTTATTTAATGGGTTGCCATATCCTATACTTACGGTTGCCGAATATTTTTTAACTGGACAAGAAGGGTTATCTTGGGGCATACAATATCGAACAGCTGGATATTTTGCCATTATTATGTTATGGTAAAAATAATACAAATTAATATAGGAAAATCTCGATATAACGGATTTATATGGGGAAGGGAGTGTTTGTTATAGCCAAAAGTCAATAAAAATATACAAAAACACTTTTTAGTTCTAGGTCTAGTGTTGGTTCTAGTTTTAGGTCAATACGTTTACTTGAATTTGTGCAAATTCCAGCTAACTAGAGATTTTGACCAATTCAATCTGGTATGCATCATATTCTCCATCACCTATACCAGGAAATAATGAGAGAAAATGATTTTTGTAATCTTTTATTTTTATGGAAAGTCACTTCGGTTAGAAATTCTTGGAGATTTAGAGGTTGCAGAATTTCTGATCAACTTAATTAGAGCTGTATCGTAGTCTTCATCATTTTAAACTAGCAAATATGGACAAAAAAATCTTTTGCCATTTCCTATTTACTTTGAAAACCAGTTTTCCCAAATTTCGAAGTAAACAGAATTTGATTAATATAGTTTAAATTGCATCGTATTCCTCATCAAGAGGTGGACAATGGTATAACAATCCAAGAAGATGAGAAAACCACGGAGCCCATATCCATCGATAAGGTTCAAGACGCAATTGCGGCGCTTAAAAACGGGAAGGCACATTGGCATACCAGTGGAAGTGCTGAAAGCTGGAGGTGTAGAGTTGGCAGGAAAAATTTATACACTGCTGCAGAGGGTTTGGAAGAAGAAAGTGTGTTGAGGAATGGAGAAAGACGGTCTTATGCCCCATATATAAGAAAGGATACAAGCTTGCATGTCGAAACTATCATGGCATCGCGCTGCTATGTACGGGGTATAAACTATTCACACATATCCTGAACCAAAGACTGCAACCTTTTGCCGAAAACATCATAGGCGAGTACCAAGCAGGATTTAGAAAAGGAAGATCCACCATACAACAAATCTTTGCCGTTAAGCAGACACTCAATGAATTGTGGACTTTAGGCAGGTTTACGACTCCATTAATAGACAACAGCTGTTTAATGGAAAGCTGAAGGATGGTGCTGAGACGGTGGGGCTTAGGATCAACACGGAGTAGACAAAGTTACTGCTACAGACGAGGAGAAACATCAGTATTGAGATAGCGACAAATGACAACATAGAAATGACACTCTTTATATAGCTTGGGATAGAAATATCTGGGCGGGTTACAGAGAAAGGAGACGTCAGAAGGAGATCAGTCCTGACCAATAGAACGTGTTCTGCATTTACTCCCATATTCAGATCTAGGTATATCCACCGACAAATCAAACTGCCTATATACAAAACAATCATTAGACCGATTGTAAGCTATGGAAGTGAGGCATGGACGCTGACGCAAAAGTCGGCGGAAAGCGCGAATGTCTTCAAGAGAAGGATCTTGAGAAGAATATTTGGGCCAGTTCTGGAATACGATGGATGGAGATTAAGATACAACCGCGAGTTGTATGAGATTTATAAAGACCCGCCACTGGCACAGTTCGTCAGACTCCAACGCCTAAAATGGGCTGGCCATTTTATTGATTAGCTAACCATTGCGTCCTCCCTTAGCTCACTACACCCTCTCAGCATGTGTTCCAGCGTCTCCCAATCCTCTCTACACAGCCTACACTACCTCTCCACATCGTCCGCCCAATACCTATTCCCCCTCTCCTCATTACCACAGTGGAATCTGGCCACCAATCTCTTCCCTTCATCATCCCCCTCCATCAACAACAACTTTGGCAGTTCCTCTGTCGCTATCTCCCCATACCTTTCATTGTATCTCCCTTCTCGTATCTGTCACCTTCTTTCCTGCCTCTGTATCCATGTCCCTATCTCTCAGTTCTCTCCACATTTCACCTCTTTCCGCTCTTCTGTTTTCGATCCCACTCTTCTATAATATTCTTTCCTGTCTCTTTGCCCATAGATCAGCCTCCTCTCCTTAATTTCCCTCCCGCACTCTCCCAGGATCCTGCAATGCGGTCTTTCTTCTATCATATATAAAGGAAAGAAGGGATACCTTACACACGTTAAAGACAGAAATAACCCAAATATGTCTCCAAAGAGACCTGGAGACCTGGGTTCGAGTCCCGGCACTGCTAATTTTTCCTTTCTGTTATTCCTGTCATTAACGTGTGTAAGGTATCCCTTCTTTTCTTTATATATGTTTAATTGCACGTTTTTCATTAATTTCAATTAATATTTGATTTCTTCTATCATTTCCTCATATTTCACTGCTATTCTCCCCGCCTTCACCCTTACTGCATCCACCTCACTACATACCCTGAGCCTTGCCAACCCAAGTACCCATGTCCAATGTCGGGTTTGTATATCCTCAAGCAAACCGTGTTCTCTCCATCCCCATACTTCTGCGCCGTACATCATTGTGCTCCTTACCAAGCCATCAAACATAACCTTTCTTTTTTCCACGTCCCTCCCAAAAGTTCTTTCCCCCCCATCCCCAAATCCATCACCCTGTTCGCTCTTTTTGCCATCGCCCTCACGTGCGCCCCAACCTTATTACTTACTGCGAAACCATATCCCAGGTACGTGTACTCTTTCACTTGTTCTATCTCTCTTCCCTGCCACCTCCATTCCTCCTTCTTTCTTCTCCCCCCTTTGTACAACTTCATTATCTTTGTTTTCTCGACGTTTACCTCCAACCCCTTCACCTTAAAATATCTCCAGGGACCTCATCATCTCCTTCATCTCCACCGCCTCGTCTATATTGCAAATAGTGTGGGACTAAGCGGGCACCCCTGCCTCAATCCCTTTGTTGTCCAGAATATCTCACTTAACTCTTCCCCCACTTTACCTTGGCCATCGTCTCCCTGTACATCACCCTCCTTATCAGTTGTTTTGTGATACCTCTCCTCCTCATTTCCTCCCAGAACTTCTCTCTATCCACATTATCGAATGCAGCTTTCAGGTCAATAAACAATCCATTTTTGATCAAATTAGCTTGACATGCATCGTAATCTTCATCATCTTAGAACAATAAATATGGACAATGAAATCTTTCGCCATTTCCTTTGAAAACCAATTTTCCTTTAATTTTAGCAATTCCCGAACTGAACAGAATTTCTGACTAATTTAATTTAAAGCGCATCGTATTCTTCATCATTTATAGATACAAATATAGAAAGAATATAATTTCTGCCACTGTTTATTTCTATAAGGACGTGGTTTTCTTGTAATTCTAGTCGAGTTTTAACTTAGTTTGAAGTGTATGCATATGCCTTATCGTCTATAGCAATTTGTATATTTTTATTCAACTAAAACTACAACTAACACTAGACCTAGAATTAGAAAGTATCGGGTTTAGCCATTCGTCTTCACACAATCTAACGCTGAATATCAATTAAAACTAGAACTAACACAAGACCTAGAACTAGAACCATTTGGGTTTAGCCGTCTTGAGAGACGTGCGGCTAAATCCGAATGTTTCTAGTTGTCGGTCTATTGTTAGTTCTAGTTTTACACTAGCATTATCACTAGAACTAACACAAGATCTAGAACTAGAATCATTCGGGTTTAGCCGTCTTGAGAGACGTGCGGCTAAATCCGAATGTTTCTAGTTTTCTGTCTAGTGTTAGTTCTAATTTTGCACTAGAACTAACACTAGACCTAGAACTAGAAACATTCCGGTTTAGTCGTCTTACGAGACGTGCAGCTAAACACGAATGTTTCTAGTTCTAGGTCTAGTGTTAGTTGTTATTCAGTGTTACATTTTTCTACTACTTTTGTTTCAAACAAAAATAAGTCCGTTCTATCGAGGTCCATCATATCAAGATTTTACTGTAATACAAAAAGTAAAAAAAATTTTAGGACATCATTTGCTGCTTGGTTATTAATGAATTTAATGCTAATAGTCGTCCCGAGATATGGCACAATGTTAATGATCTTGTGCGGAATTTTATTGGTATCGACCAACTGGGGTTACATGAGCTTACTTCCAAAAACCCCGTTAGTTAATCACATTGAAAATAGCACGATACAATTCAATTTTGGTTGGTGTTTTTGGCTAGTTTTCATCGCAGGTGATGTTATAATACAAACTAAAAGTACCTTTATAACCCAAAAAATTGTTTTAGGTTGTCTTTGTTTAGCCGTTGGAATTGTAATCAGCGTAATAGAACTTTTCTGCCCAAACAGCTTTTCAACAATCCTCGAAGTCGATTACGACACCCCATATGACCGTCACATCATAATAGAAGATAGCAAAGGGAAACGATTTCAAAAGAAACGCAACAGCCAAGGGAAACTTGAAGAATCTCAATTTAGTTTGGGTTCGAGGATTTTAAGGTTTAATTCATCAATCATTATCGAAATTGATCTAAATAATCCTTTTTGTTTTAGAAGATTATCATCAAAAGATAAAGATGATCGATCGATCTACGAAATTTCCGAACCTAATCACATAGAAATGAAGAATCCAAGATCACCGTGGCGATATTCTTTAGATCATGTTGGTTACCCAATTAACAATGGGATGTTTGAAAGGAGTTGTTCCCATCGTTCTACGTCGACGGCCGAATCCAAAGATTTACCACAGCTTCATAAGCAGCACACAAGGTAAAGTTATTCCCATATGTTTTTGAATTGCTTAATTTTTTTTGCCTCTTTAAAGATTAAATCCGAGTCAAGATCGAAATAATTTTCCCAGCATGTGGTAACAAAAAATTCCAAAACGATTACATTTTAGTCCAATTTAATTAATTTACCATTTACGATTTAAGTGATTATATTTGTGATATAGCTTATTAGAAGCGAGAGAAATAATTAACAGCAAGATAATAAATTCTCTTGTTTTTTATTATTTTTAAACACCGCTTTTATCGTTAATTTATTATTTTTTTTGTTTCTATTTAAGTTTCTATCTAATAGTAATATTATTATTTATAACTGATGATGAAGAAAAAAAAATAAAACATCTTTGAGTGAATATAGTAGTTTTATTTTATTTTGCCAACAAGAATATATTAAATTCGTTTTTCTTATCAACATCAGGCAACGCAACACAGCGACAATTTTCCATTTCTTTTTATTTTTATACTTTTTAGGTGAAAAAAAATGAATTTATAAAAATTCAAGGTGATTCATCTATGTGTCATCTAGGTATTATTACAGTATCGACGTATCTTTCTTCCGGATCATCAATCTCAACGAAAGCAGGTTCCGATCTTCTATAAATCGTGATGTTGTCGTTGTGATCATCGCAATAACAACACGCACAATGACAATATAATAAGAAACCTAAAAAAAGGATTAATTCATTTATGTTATGATTTATATTTTTATATTATCTTACCCGATATTAACCAAAATAAAATGCCAGGCCAAGTATCTTCTGATAATAAAGTTATTAAAGTCATGTTTGAGACAATCGATAAAATTCCTAGTGATGGTAAAAATGGATATAGCTTTGATGCTTGTAGTTCATCCGGTACGTTTTTAGGTAAAAGGTATAAAATTACTATACAGATACAAATGACTAGAAAAAATAAAAAAGATTTTATTAAAATTGTGAAATTTAAAATGTTGGGAACAATTTAATATTTAGAGGTAAATAAGATAGTTGTGAAAGATTGAAGCCAACAATCTAGAAACTTAAAGATAATTCCAAATCAATTCTCTTACCTAGTGTAACAATGTATTATACAGTGCTTCCCAAAAGTAACGGATAAATTCTTTAAAACAATTAAAAACGGTTTATAAAAAAATCCCTGAGACGGGTCTAATGATTTAAATTTTATGCAATTTTTTGGTATAGATTTTACATTTTTCCTCCATTTCTAAACTAATTATAACGTCATAGCTATTTTTTTCAAATAGCAATCCTCCATTTTTTGTTACGGACTATAAAAGAGGATTTTTTTCTGAATTTGGTACAGCCAAAATTAATATTAGTTGCATAAGAAAATTTTCGAGAAAAATTGCCTTAAAGTTTCATGATTTTTCATTCATTTAAGGTAGAAAAATAGCAGTAGCCATGCGTTACCATAGCAACTAGTTGTTTTAGATATTTTACTAAGACTCACTTTTACCACCTCCTGATAAATTTATCCGATAGATAAATCCAGTTCTTAGCCAATGAGAGTGCTTAAAACCGCCGCAACCATGGCAACTATCCTCTAGATAGTTTATTAGGAGGATGGTAAAAGTGGGCCTTTGCCAATAATTAATTTTTGATATCTGAAACAGTTGGTTGCCATGGTTACGCATAGCTACTGCTATTTTGATATCTCAAATGAATGGAAAATCATGAAACTTTAAGATAATTTTTCTTGAAAATTTTCTTACGTAACCAATATTAATATTGACTGTACTAGATTCAGAAAAAAGTCATATTTCATATTCCGTAATAGAAATGCAGTATGGCTATTTGAAAAAAATATCGATGACGTCATTACTCGTTTAAAAATGGCGGAATAAATTTAAAACCTATACCAAACAATTGCAAAAAATTAATTGTTTTAACGAATTTATCCGTTACTTTTGGAAAACCCTGTATATTAAGGCGGCGAAGATACATTTCTGCTGGTTGTGAAACACTGGGGCCAATACCGCTTGCAGTAGCGGTGCTACAATCTATACCATTAAGGATATAATGATATTTGGGGTAGCGCCTCAGCTTAAAGGGATCTCCTTTATTCTACAAGTATTATGTATTAAGACAGCAAAGATACATTTTGTACTGATTACGAAAGATAGAAGCCGAGGTCGTTTGCGGCCGAGGCGCTACAATCTATACCGTTTAGAATAAAACGCGATCGAGGTAGCGCCTCGGCTGTAACTTTATCATACAAGTAACTGTTGTCTATTAAGGTAGCGAAGCTTCAAATTTGAAGATTATCTCATCTGTATGATACAAAACCGTGGTGAGCTGACCTCAAATTTTTTCACAGAAAGCAGTCAAATTTCATTAACATAAGAGATTTTAGGAAATATACAATTTTGAGTGTTTCAATCGGTATCTAAGATTATATTTATGTAACTTAACAAAATATATGGTACTCCTCAATCTCCAGGTTTATCTCCTCTTAGCGAGTAATTATTGTGATGATAATTGCAATTGCCGAGGGGCTACAACCTATACTATTAATGATAAAACGCGCTCGATGTAGCGCCTCGCCCGCAAGCGACCTCGGCTTGTTTCTGTCAACTCGTCACAACAATGCACGGTGACTTTATGATACAAGTAACTATTTTATATTAAGACAGGAAGATATATTTCTACTGGTTGTCAAAGATAGAAGCCGAGACGCTACAATCTATACCATTAAGGATAAAGTGGTATCGAGGTAGCGCTTCAGCCGCAAGGGGCCACATCTTCATTCAATCAGCTGGAGAAAAAGCGTTAAAGTAAGATTTTGTGAATATAAAAGACTTTATGAAATATATAATTTTGACTGTTTCAATCAAAACAGTATATTCAATGCTTGAGTATGAATCACGCAGTGTAATAATCGGTATCTAACATTATATTTATGTAATTTAATAGAATATTTGGTATCACCCACTCTCCAGGTTTATCTCCTCTTAGGCAGTAATTGTTATGATGATTATTGTAATTGCCGAGGGGCTACAATCTATACTGTTAATGATAAAACGCGTCGCCAGCAAGCGAACTCGGCTTCTTTCTGTCAACTCGTGACAACAATGACCGTGACTTTATCACACAAGTAACCATTTTATATGAAGGCAGCGAAGTTATATTTCTACTGATTGTGAAATATAGAAGCCAAGGTCGCTTGTGGCCGAGGCGCAACAATCTATGTATATCATTAGTATTTCGACTTCGTAATATTAATAACTATTGTAAATTAAGATAACAAAGATATATTTCCGCTAGCTGAAACTGAAGCTTGTGATCGAGGCGCAACAATCTAGAAACTTAAAGATAAAATCATGTCGAGGTAGCGCATCGGCCGCAAGCGACCTCGGTTTCATTCAATCAGCTCTAATACCAGTAACAGCATCCCTATAAAATAGATTCAATGATCATCGTGATATTAATTAAATATAAAGAATTAAACAAAATTCGCGTAACGATGATAGAATTGTTTATTTATATTATTCAGTGCTTACTGTAGTATTCGACCATATAATGGTCTTCCTCAGGCACAACGTCAAAGCATAATTTAGATATTAAATGACATCAATTTCTTTAGGATGAATGATCTTGACTCAAAGTTGTTAATAATTATCCGTTAAAGAATATTTAAAAATCAATATGATGTATATTCTTAAATATAAATTAACAATTCTATCATCGTTACACGAATTTTATTTCATTCTTTCTATTTAATCAGTAACAGCATATCTACCAACAACACTAAAGGCTGAAACATCTCTGCCTCAACAATGGATCTAAAAATTTTAAACGGATCCACAACGAAAACCTAAACCGAAGATATTTGAAGTAGATTTGATGATCCACTGTATTCAAGAATGTTCCAAAAACAACACAAGAAGAAAGTTTTGGAAAAAAATAGAAAAACGAATATTTAGCTAAAGCTGTGACAGAATTATATCAATAAATATTAGCCAACGTCAAATTCAAATCAAGAATTACAACCTTTACTATGATCAACCACTAATGAACAAAATTAAAGATATCGAATATATTGCCAAGAACAATTTGATTTTAAAGTTAGAAATGAGAAAGATAAGGCGATTGTGAGGGTGATAGAAGGAGTCACTTGTAAATAAATAGTTAGGATGTTTGCTGACAAATTTTTGACTAATTTTTGATAAATGTACCTACGTGGGTGTACAGGATATTTTATGACTCCTTACTGTGTCATGGAGTTATTCTAAATACATTTATAGTCCCTAGAAAGTATACCTTAGAATCCTGGATACTTCCCAAGATTATAGAATAGGGTATCCGCAACTTTTTAATTTAACCAACCTCAACTCAATTAAGTAATTTCTACCACAATTTTTCCTTAAAGTAATCAGCAATCCTATTGGTGTAATTTTTGAACATTTGAGGACTTCAACTCTGGCTTTTAAAGGAATATCTGCACTATTATATCATGTTCTTCGTCATTCCTTGTTAGAATATACATTATTTTAATTTTTCTGAATATTTAGAACAAATTGTTTTTACGTTGATCAATACAGTGTTATACAATTTGGTAAATTCGGTTTTTTGTAGATGGGTCTACAATTTTACAATATCTAGATTAAACCACTATGTGACATATACCAAAGAAAAATTGTTAAATTGAATGGCTATTAAATCAATGATATGATCATTGTTAGTTGGGTAACGTTTTTCAGAAACTAGTCCAGAAACATTTCGAATAGGAATCTCGAATAGAAAAGGTTATAGTTATCTTTAAAAGTGATATAATATCATTTCGATTCATTAAAGATTAGATTTTATACGATTTTTGGAAAACTATCGGAACAGAATTTTTCCCCTAAAAAATGAAAAATGACATCGTTGCGTTTAAAAATTTTTATCTCAAGAACTAAAAGAGATTTTCAAAATTGGGTTTATTCGTTGAAAAGGTAGATCTTGACTCTATAATTTTTGAAAATTGCGTTGCGATATCTTAAATAATCGATTTTACGCGTTTTTTTAAAAACGGAGGTAACCAATTTTAAGTTGAAAAAGTGAACGAAAAATCGGCTCAATTTAATATTTGATTTCTCAAAATCTAAATATTTTCAAAAACGGTCTTTTTTATTAAAAAAGTTATGATTGCTACTACAAGTGGTGATGATTTCATTTCAATTCATTAAAAATTAGATGTTATACGATTTTTTGAACACGATCATAGCATATTTTTTCCCTAAAAAATGAAAAATGACATCGTTGCGTTTCAAAATTTTTTTCTGAAGAACTAAAAGAGATTTTCAAAATCTGATTTATTCATTGAGAAGGTAACAATCGACTCTATAATTTTTGAAAATAGTATTCATATACCTTTAATGATCGAATTTACGCGATTTTTTAAAAATGGAGATGACTAATTTTAATTAAAAAAAACCAACGAAAAATCGGCGCAATTTAAGAATTGATTGCTCAAAAAGTAAATGATATTTTCAAAAACGGTCTTTTTTATTAAAAAGTTTATGATTATTACTAAAAGTGGCGATAATTTCATTTCGAGTCATTAAAAATTAGATTTTATACGATTTTTTGAAAATAATCATAACACATTTTTCTCCCTAAAAATGAGAAATGACATTGTTGCGTTTAAAAATTTTTAACTCAAGAACTAAAAGAGATTTTTAAAATCTGAATTATTCATTGAAAAGGTAACAGTCGACTCTATAATTTTTGAAAATTGCGCAAAGAAATACTTTAAATAATCGATTTTATGCGATTTTTTGAATCAAATACTTACTTATAAATATTAACCAGTAAACACCTTTCTCCATCGAAGATACATTTAAAGCAAAATAAATCGCCGAAATCACAACGATTTTTATAACAACAAAGACTATCGTTTGATGAGCTAACGTTGGCGAGGATTGTTCTGGAAAATTATTACTTGTTGATACCTAAACAATCAAAAATTAAATTAAATCAATATTTACATTTCATAATCTTACTTTGACTTTATCTTTATATTCTTTCACAGCAGCATCAATATCCGTTGAACTCCCGCTGCTTTCACTATCACTCGGTCTGGTTGTAACATTTTTATCTTCTTCAGAATCGGAACTTTCCATTCCGTCACGATATGAATTACTAGAATCGTAAGTGTAGTTATCTAAGAGGAGGTATTCTTTATCACTTTGGTATTCTACAAGACACAAGAAATAAACAAAAAGTAATAAATAAAAATTTCTTGTACCATTTTTAATTTTACTTTTAGGTTTTTTATGCCACAAAGACGCATTTATAATAGAATTTGAAGGTTTCATAACTCTCCTTTCTTTTCTTAATTTACTATATTGGACGCTTGAATTTTGAACTAAAACAAAATCGTACAAATCTAAGTAGGTTATTATTAATGAGAGGTCTTACATAAATTATCAACACTTTGTAAATTTGATTTAAAACATTGATAAATAACGATCATCGTTATCATCGTGGCTTTAAGTCTTGCCGAAGCGTTTAATAATCGTACCAAATACGTTAAGGGGCAGGCGAAAGCCAAAATTGACGATAAACTTCCTACAACGAAAATCGCCAAAATTGGCGCCCCTGTTGTGGTGCTTCTGTATAAAATTGGGGTGACCAAAATTTGCCATTCCTTCTTAGCCAAACACATCACCAAAGCGTATAATTCGGGCATTACTTCGGTTAAAACAAGACAAACCACGCAAATCGTACAAATTGCCATTGCTAATCGGGGCCAACCAACATCTCTTACTTCAAAGACACGAACTAAAGGTATTGCAGTTCCTGCTATTTCCCTTTAAAACATTTTAATTAATTAAAAAATAAATTAAAAGATTAAATAAGAACCTGTAATGTGACATCAATGTAAATGTTAATGTGATTAAAGAATAACAAATAAATGGGACTATTATATAAATTGCTGCTTTTATGTATCTCGTATTTCCTTTTAGTTTTGTAAAATCTCCAATAAAACCATACGAACATAACGCTGAAGTAACCAAGATCTAAAAAAATAATTTATATCAGGGTAAATCACAATTATGATGTTATTGTTATACACAAGTCCAATTTCTGTTCATAAAATCCTCAGTCCAACTCCAAAATTTAATGTCAGTGTGAAGAGATCCAACAGTTACAAATAGAGTGTAAGCTGATGTCATGGTGATGTAAAGAAGAACGCTGAAGAGTTTAGATCTCTTCAAAATTGAATTAAAATAAAAAAATAAATAAATTTAAAACTATCGATAAACTAACTTCTAAGCCGAGCATAAACAGCGCACTGACAACTGCAATTATCGAAACACCAAGTACATCGGGCCATGGTTCTCCCAACGAATGTGATTCTATTCCAAAAAGCCAACTTCTCAATTTTTGATTGCTTGTATAATCAACTGTTGCACTTGCTATTCTGGCACATGTCGCTCCAGCCATTAATAATTCAAGAATATTGAACCAAATTACCATGAAATGGCAAATATCTGTTGGTTTTCGTTTGCCAGATGATTTTCCATCGTAATATAATCCACAAATAGCTGGAAAGTTTGATTGAAATGATAAAAATAAGTAGATAAATAAAAAATATACCTGATATTGTAACAGTAACTATAGAAATTGCTAATGCCACGATAGTTCCAGCTCCAGAATATTCAGAAGCAGCCAATCCGATTAAAATCAAACCACCAAGTGACCAATGAATACAGACAAATCCAAATATTCCCGTAGAAGGCATTTTTGTTAAATATTGTAACCAAAATAAAGTTAATTCTTTAAAATAATAAATAAATTTTTAATGATTTGTAAATCTTACTTATTTATTTGATGTTCCAAAAATATGTATTGATGTAGTTTTTCTTCACATATTAGAGGTGATTGTTTGGTTGTTGCTGGTGGGTTTTAGTTAACAAAGACCGTTGCACGTGCATTTTAGGTTCTGCATTGTCCCCGCATTAACGAGCTCCATCGATTTTGTACATAAACGCACGCGCTTTAACATAACTATAAGGAAAAAATTGTTTGGACCAAATCCATTTTTATTAATCGATTTGTAGATAATTTATAAAAACAAAATTAATGAATCAAATGAACTTGATAAACAGCACAACGTATTAAGTTAAATTTGGGTTTATATGAAAAATCACAAGTTTGATTTGAATCATAATTTGATTAAAGAGTAATATCAAAATCGCACTATCAGAAGAAGAACTGCAAAGATATAAACAAATAGGAAACAAAATGAAGCAAGAAATATGGAAACAAAAAGAATCTATATAAAGAAAAGCATCAATGAGTATGTCCAACTCAAGCATATCAGCAAAAAAGAAGGGATGGAATAATTTAAAGAACAGTATGAGCAGACACCATCTCAAATAAGACCAAGAAATGGAAGTAGAAATGACACCGACTTTAAAATATCTTTGGAACAAATTGGTGGTAGTATAAAGAAACTAAAAAACAGAAAAAGCCCAGGTCCTGACTTAATTACGAATGAAATGTTAAAGCATGGTGGACAGACACTTCCAGATCGACTATTCACACTTTGTGGAAACAACAGTGGAAAAGTAGCGTGACGTATTTATAAAAACCGCAAGATGCCGAAAATCTGCAGAGGTATTTACATCAATAATACATGAATATCTGCAAAAAACACTCGAAATAGCAGAAGAGCAGCATGGAACCCGGAAAAATAGAGGCACAACATTAGAAGCATCAGAAGATAGACAACATATACACCAACAATACTACTAAAATAAGGGCTACCCAAGGCATAAGTGAAGAAATGTGAAGGAGTTAGACAGGAGGACTCACTAAGTCCGTTCTTATTCAACATACTAATGAACCGTATAATGGAAGCCATTAGACCCAAACTAAGATACAAGATAGGAACCCAAACTGTTAGCACAGTTTGCTATGCCGACGACGCTGTTTTGGTTGCAAGTAACGAAGATGACCTGCATAGACTAGTGTATCACTTCAACATAGCAGCTAAGCAAAACAATATGAAAGTATCAACGGAGAAAACAAAATGTATGGTAATATTCAAAGAACCAAGACTCCGCAAACTACGAGTTGAAAATTCTATAAGGTGTAGAAATTAGAAGCTATCGAGATTTATATAAAGAAGCACAAGTTACAAAAGCGACACAAGTGGCAGGCTGTCTAAGAGGCACTATATGGGAATAAATACACACGTATAGAAGGAGGAGGAAAGCCATGGTACGACTCATACTAACATATGGTACAGAGACGACAGCAGAAAGAAAGAAAACTAAACAGAGGATGAGGGTGGATTCTGGATTAGCGGGAAGGCAGGCTGCACCGCCCGCAGCACTTTGACCTCAGCAGAATTTGCCTCTGCAGATGTCAGTGTCACTTATTCCCATGTTCAGTAAGTGTTTCTGTAGATGCGAGACATGCCAGTGTCCAGTGATTACACCTATGATCAAACGTAGGTTCGTCTTGCACAGCCTCATAAATAAATCTGTTCGTTTAGGGTCAGACTACATCAGAACCTCCTTGGCTTGGCGGCATCCTGGTGTCCTGTCCCAGTAAGTTAGAAACTTCTTACGTGTTTCCTCTTTTTGAAGCTCTATTAAAGACCTTATTGTTAGGGCGATGAATGGTTCTGGCGATCCCGGAGGTTCGCCTGCAGCTTTCCCTGCCAGTTTGTCCACCATGTCATGAAGCTTATTTCCCGAATGACCCTTTGAGGGAGATAAAAGTCTTGAGATCAATCTATCAGAGAAAGATGTAGTAAAACGGAGAAAAGTAAGAAAGAAAAGGTGGAAGGAGCATGTGGAAAGAATGGATGAGAGGAGATTGGCCAAAATATGCGTGTACTCCTCGTCTGCGGAGTAAAGTCCAAACATAAGGCCTAAAAAACAGGGATGCATCCCTAATTGACGGTAGAAGAAGATTAATATTTGAATGTTTTTCATGAACTATGTTCTTAATATGAATTTAATTAGACTTTCAGAGAAAAACATAACCTTTAGCAGAAAGACGATGTACAACATCAATATCCATGAAGGAAACAGGATTAGTTAGAGACTCGGATACACTCTTCATGAAACCCAATATGATTAGGTTATTGCATGTGGAGTATTTTTTCAGAAGCAAAAAACTCCCCCAATTATTTTCTCATTTATCATTAATTTTATAAATTTATCTCAAAATCGGAATTCTTGATCCCGCAAGACGTTTATATATCCTCATATTTATATGACATCTAGGATTACCAATATTTTTAATAGCCATTACCACATATTAATATATAATTACCACAGATTTAATAGTTGTATTAAATGGTACATTTCCAAACGCATGGAAACATTCGCTAGTAAGACCGTTGCCAAAGAAGAAAATAGTTGAGCCCCTTCATGATTTACGACCGGTTAACATACTGCTCTGTCTAAATAAAGTCTTTGAAAAGCTTTTAGAGCGCCAGTTACATCAGTATCTCGCGCTTCTCGTAAAATAATTGGATTTGCAAAATAGAGTCCAGTGACTGAAAGAATAGATCCAACTCCGTTCTAGATTTGTTCGAAGGAGAATAAATGTTAATCACTATTATTTACATTTTGCTCAATTTTCAACACTCTATAATTGACTCGATACTTTTCTATTTTAGGTGGAGTAACTCAACATACTCTATTCCCCTCCGCAATAAAATACAAGAACCACCATGGGATTTCTTAGTTCTAGTAAATAAGGATGCAACATGGAAACCATCTATAAATAAAAGTTCGGAGAGTGAAATTGCATTGACCTCACCTTCTAGACTATCAACAAGGATCAAAACATCATCAATTTTATTTCTTAAGCTTTGAATATTGTTGTGTATAAGTGTAAATTTTTGAACATTACTTTCTTTGCTTACTGAAAACGTTTTGTTTCGTTTATTATTCCAAATTGTGTTCTCTTTCTCTATTTGTGGACGATTAAAACTATCATTAATTAAGTAGTCTGTTTTTGATTCATCCGAACTCGAAATAAAAAACGGTTCACTCGAACTCCACCTGGCCACGTCGTAGCATTTTTAATCTTTTCATATTGTTCCTCTAATACAGATACTTTAAATGAAGCATACTCCTCAAGGTATTTAGCATTCATTTTTTAACGTTTCATATCAGTTAGGCGTTGGGTTTTTAAATGATTTATTACATCTTCTGTAGTTGTATTGGGATATAAACGGTACACATGGAAATGATGATATTTTTGGGCACCTTTAGAGTTGTATTAATTGCAGCTCCCATTATTGTATTGGAAGTGCGCTTTTTGCGATTATTTTTTTATAGTCATTATCAGTAGAATTTAATTGATTTTTAATCGAATCTTTGGTAGATTTAACTTCTACAAAATTATTTTGTTCTAAGTCATTATCTCGAGTAAATTTTTTATTTTTCTTTTCTCTTATCATAGAATTGGAAAATGACAAGTGGAGTCGTAGTGACCTCTCACTTATTTGCTGCAGATCTTTGAAGGTTTTGTGAATTCTTTCTCATCAGCCTGTTCTGCCATAACTAAGATCCAGCGTGCCGCAGCGGTGTCGATATAGTGCTTCACTCTGAGGACGGTTGGGGTTACCTTCTTTTCTCTGCATCTTCGTAGAAAAACCAAGCTACTTAATAACTTGCGTTGTCTAATCCGTAAGTTGTTAAAATCCTTGATTTGTTTGTTGATCCTCCCCATAAAGGTTGATGATATAAATACAGAATTGTTCTGTGTAAACATGGCTAGAAAGTATAAAATTTGACGATTTATTTATGAAATTAAAAGACATGAACAGATATTTCAAACTCTCATAGAATTAGCAGAATATGAAACGTTGATTACTTCATTACATAATGCAAAGTTGTTCTATAAAATCATTAAATTACAAAATTAATGTTAGGTATAAGTACACCCAGATTTATAATCATACTTATCCATATAAAGATTGGGAATGAGCGGGTAATTTTTTTCCTAAACAACGTTTTAGATAATAAAAGCCCAACTTTTACAGTTAATATAACCTGATTTATTTAATAATAAATAAAGCACTTATTTATTTATTAATTTACAATAATTGTGTCACTTCTATAACTATATTATAAAACGGTATTGCAAAACTAACCGACCTATCTTACCCAACCATAATGGCGCGTATTAAAAACATTTTCGTCTTTTACTTCACTACAAGAAACACGTACGTATCGAAATTCATTTTATTAATAAGATTGGTTTATTTGAATAGGTTAGTCGAATATTCCTAAATGGCAATGTTATAAGTAGTAAAACACTTGGGTTATTAATTTAATTTATATAAAAAATACTTCTTTTTTATTCCAATTCTGGGTTACACGACAATTATGCGCTTTTATAGATTTATAGTACAACCTTTTAATAGCTTAAAATATCTGTTGAAAGCTGCACTTTTTTTAAATCGCACCACGAAAAATATTTAGGACCCGCCTCAGGCACGTCTCGACTCTGTATTCGTCAAGTTTTTATTTATTATAGGAATCACTGGTATAATAGAATATTTAGAATTTATTTATCAAAATAGCTACATACAAAGTGATTCGTTTGAAAGGTATTTCTAAAACACGCAAATGTTAAATCTAATATGTCGTATTAAATTTTTGAATCACTTGTATTTACTAAAAATTTATATATTTTTGTATCTGTAATAATTGTATTTTGAAAAAAAGCGCACATTCTCAGTCTTGTAGCTTTTATAATTGCGTCAAGAACGGCATAAAAAAAAACGTATCATTTTTAAAGCTAAAAATCTTACTCTACGGATTCATACTGTTGTCATAAATAAATCGGTTTATTTTTATTGATCAAATAGTAAATAATCATACCAACTGGTAAAACTAAAAGGACCAAACCGGCGGCGACAAAATTAAAAATAATCGAATTAAGAAATTTCGACTCCATTTGATTCTCACCATTATTGAGATTTTGGATCGGTTTGTTATCAACAACGAACGCTTTTCTTGGTTTATCTGTTGAAGTCTTATTTTCGTGATCATGATCTAATATTTCATGATCTTCCCTCCTTTCTCGATTAATCTTAGCCATACCATCAAAATCAACATCAATCCCACCATTAATTAATTCATAAATATTTTTGAAATCACCAAGTGGATTTCGTTTTAAATTAATATACGTTAATAATCGTAACTTTAAAAGATCATTTAAAAGGTCATCATTAATATTGGTCAATTGGTTATGACTCAAATCGATGTATTTTAGATTGGGTAAATTCGAAAACCCGTCTTTGTAAATTTTTTCTATTTTGTTATTGTCCAAAAATAGATACCCCACGTTTGGATACGACTCCAAACATTCGAAATCACTTTGTTGCAGGTACTCGATTATGTTGTGCGAAAAAATCAGTTTTGTAATCGATTTAGCTTCGTTTTCTTTAATGTTTTCGCAAGAAACGGACGTAAGATTCATTTTGCGATAATCGAGGCGATCGTTTATGATCGTACTTTGAGTACAAGTCAAGAATAATAATCTAAAATACAAAAACAATGTAAATAAATTTATGTAGGTAATAAAAACTTACAAAAAGAATGGAATCATCATGTGGTCGATGTTAACGTCTGTCATTTTGTTGTAAAAATTAATACTAGTTGAAAATCTGGAAATAAAAATTACAATCGATCAATTTCGGAAACAATTTTAACGAAATTATTAGCTCAAATTGTTTAGGTAGTCTCATTTTTTTATCTGGAGGATTTTTCTTATCTTTAGATAATGAGTATGGATATCTTTTTAATGTTGAAATATAAATCCTTTAAATTAAGATTATAAAATATACAAGGTGTGTCAAAAATGGTTTTAATAACACCAAACGTAAAATTGAATCCATGACTCATAGTCGTGGGGACTTTAAAGCACGGTTTGATGAAGAGGAAGGGATGGTCGAAAAATTAAGTGTAGATTAAGAAATATAGAGAGCATTTGCGATTAATAGGAGAGAAAGGATGAGATATTTTGAACAGGAATAAGGAAGAAGTTGATTTGATGGGGGGTGGAATATAAGAGATGGAAGAGTTGACGGAGACTGAAAAAGAGAATATAGAGAAACCCAAAATATTAGTCACAGAAAATAGATTGATCACCCAGAAACGACAAAGGCAAGGAAATAAAACAATGATGCAGGCAGAAACGATGCAGATGATTGCTGCTGAAGAGATCGATGGATATAGCGTAGGTATAGTGACCTACAAGGAATAAGATGGAAGAGTAATGGCAGGTTCATAAAACCCAAATAGAATCTGGCGACGTAATTCAAAGTAATTGCGAAAAAATTTCACCCCACGATATGTTGCTGGTACTAAGAGATTTCAACGCGAAAATTGGAAAGGAGGAGGTGTACAGAAATGTTGTTGGCAAGCATAGCCTACAACATAACAAGTCCTAATGAAAATCGATTATGCCAACTCGCAGAAACGCTTAACCATGTCATCAGCAGTATTCTCAAGAAAGTATGACGTAAAGACGTAAAGTCACTACCTATTAGCAGCATACTTAAGACAACGCATCAGCAATATGCAGAAGGTGAAAGGACGAACGATCAAAAAATAAAATATCGCCAAACTAGAACTATTATGTCTAAATAGTCATACAAATGAAAGTCAATAAGCACAAAAGTCAAAATGACAATTGGACGAGTTGAAAGAGGAAGGAAGGATGAATGGTATGATGTAGAATACAGGACAGCAATGAAGAGGAAAAATTACGCAAGACTGCAATATAGATATACAAAGAGGCACAAGAAGCAAACGGGAGGAGTGTACAGCACAAAGAAGAAATGTAACGAAACTTTGCAGAAAAAAGAATACTATAACAGAACAATAAAGACGCTGAAGTATCAGAGCAAAAGCAGGGAATACAGAAAATTCTACCACCTTGGTCTAAATCAAGGGATAGCTGATGCAGGGATACAGATGGAAAGCTAGTCACACTGCAGGAGAACGTATTGAACAGATAGAAAGAGCATGTCCATAAATTGCTGAAGGAAACTCATGGTTATAAGGGAAAGACCAAGTTGGATTACGCGACTGCTGAACCAAAATTAGATCAGCAAGGATATACAGGTTGTTTCATGAGGAATGGTACATACGTTAATATGTTATAGATTTATGCATTTTTAGCAGAAAAGTTCCTAAAAACATGTGCTCAACTCTCAAAAGTAACTGAGATACAGCAAGTTAATGCATAAATTGATATCACGCACGGCTGTTGTGAAATAGTCATTTGTCAATGTTTGACATTTAACATTATTTGGTTGACGTGTCGACTAAGTTGTTGAAAATGCCACACATATTGACTCATGCAGAATATGCTGTTACGGTGTTTTGTTACGGTTTCTGCAATGGAAATGCCCGTGCTGCTCGTCGTGACTATAGGAGATGGTTTCCTAACCGAGTGCTACCAAATTCATTTACTGAACGAACTTGAATAAATTCTTCAGTCGGTAGAACGCAGTCCATCTATCAGTATAAGAAGACTTTCTGCTCGCCTTGGTATTCTTCATGTAAATGTATGGAGAACATTGCGTACTCATGGCTTGTATCCACTCCATATTCAACCAGTAAAACACCTTGAACCAACAGACTTTGCCAGGAGATTTGAATTTTGTAGATGAGTAATCTAACCGCGGCTTGGTTCCTATGATACTTTTTACCGACGAAGCCATTTTCACCCGTAATGAAATCAATAACAGTCGAAATGATTAGGCCTTTCGTACTACCCGATCGTCTAACAGTGGACAGATATTTAGAGTTCTTGCGCAATGAGTTTCCAACACTGTTAGAAGATATGCCCTTGGCTACCAGAGCCCATATGTTCTTCCAGCATGATGGGGCCAAACCTTTGCGGAACGGTGAATTTGTTGAAAAAGAAAGATGAAAAAAAAATTATTCTATCCGATGGACAATCAGAATTCAGAAGGGAAAGAGACTATAGGCAACTATATTCAATTATTAAAAGCATTATTACAACCAATTATTATAACCACATTCGTATTGAAAAGCAGTGAACAGGGAACAGATAAAAAGGGGATAATTGCATGTGTAGACCTAAGAGTGGCATTTGACACAGTTAATAAGGAGAAATTATGACAAAAGCTAAGAAAAACGAGAATTAGTGGATTATCTAAGAAATAGGATGAAAGAGACTGGAAAATTGTAGGGGATATGGAAGAAAGGTTAAAGAGATCTATGAAAAAATGAAAATTATAAAATTCTGCAAAGAAGGCAGAGGGAAATGGGAATGAAAGAGAGAGATGTTTACCTTTCGAGTGAATAATGGGATGTGGGCTCATATATAAGGCAGAGAGTTAGAAACGCAAGCAAAATATTGGGACAGACATGGAGCTATGGGGAAAGAATATTTAGAGAAGATTTCTGTAGAAAGAAAATTATGTTTGATGGAATGGTGAGGAGTGTGATAACGTATGGACCGAAAATATGAGGTTGGCAGGAACAAAAGATGATGGAGGAGATTTAAGAAAGATATTGGAGGTGGGTTTTGGGGTTGAACAGGGAGAAACTCCGGGATATACATATAGTAAGAGAGTAGTTAAAGTTACAGTAAGGGCAGAGAAACGACTTTAAGCTTAAGTAGTCTGATACTCAACATAGTTTCACATCGTGGAAGGAGTTGGAATGTAGAAATAGAGATGTGGAAACACAAAAACATCGTGCTCAGGTAGAAGAGGGGAAATACAACAATAAGTATAAAATCTTAATGACGGAGGAAATTCTAGGGTATTTGATGGATTTAGGCGATTTAGGTGCGAGAATGAAGATAGAGCTATGTTGGGTAGGAGATTAGGTGAAGATGTGTAGATTGTGTGGCAAGGGTTGCGAGACAATTGAAGAGCCTGGTGCAAGAAGGGGATGTACACCAAATATGAAGAAAATGAGATTTTTTTTAAAAACGGTTAAAAAAATTCGTATTTATCATTTAACATAAATACGCATGATGTTCTGCCAACTGAGTCAGAATTGTGAGAGAAAATCACTTATCCCGTGTTGTAGACGGGTGCAATAATGGGATAAGTTACGTGGCGTTTATACCGTTATTGCACCAGACAATCCCATGCTATTATTTGTCCACCACACATAAATAATGACTTTTTTGTACCGTGAGGACAATACCGAAATTGTATGTTGGTGGTGTTTGATTGATGTTTTATAATGTCATTCGCAATGTTTTGTAGCTTAGAGTTGACATATTTTTAATTGAACATACTATTGTTAGGCCATTACGTTTCCAGTGAATGTAACTTTACTAAAATGGATAGTGATAGGTCTGAAGAGGAAAAAAGGGTGAAACAGAAGCGCGGTCGTGAAAGAAATATGGAAACGAAATATACAAAAAATTAAAAGGGCTAGAGGAGAATGTCATAAGTCCACATCAACGGTGAAGCTTGTGAAAGAGAGCAAGGCAATGACTGCAAGTGCAGAAAACGATGCGTTAGAATTTTTTTTGGCTTTTAATAACCTGGCAGACCAGGACAAACAAGATTCATATTTATCCAGGTAAAAAACTGTAAAAGCGGTTATTAGACGGTGAAAGAAAGAAATAAAAAAATTAATAAGAAAACCATACTTACAAATACAAGGTAGGTATTATTAAATTTATAACTTTTTATTCCATTTTGACAGTTTAAACTGTATTATGATCAGACGTCATATCGTCGATGATGTTAGACAACTTTCTATATATACCTATGTTTGTATTAAGATACGAATTCACATAGGAGGTTGTCTAAAATCAACGACGACAAGCAGTTTACATGATTTTTCTAAACTGTGATTTGTACAATAGATTTCAATGTCTTTACGCCACCTGAATTAAACATTGGGATTAAACCAGTAACAATGTCGAGATTTGCAAAACTGCTGTATGCGTTCTTGATGGTATTGGTAAGAAACGCTTGGGACGCATTGCAAAGCATCTTTGTAAAAACGTAACACCCGTTCAAGATAAACGGGGTCGACACTTCAACAGACCTTGTATTATTACGGATGATTTAAAAGAACATGTGCACGCGCATATCAACAGTTTCCCAAAACGATGTTCCCACTACAGAACCACAAAATATTACTTGTCCAACGATTTAAACATATCAATAATGTATGATATACCTTCAAAAATACGAACCGGATATGCACCGACTAAAACAAGATAACCGTCCATACAAACCACAAATATCGTATGATTTCTATAGATTTCCAAGAAAAGTTTAACATAAAGTTCGGAATAGCGAGCACAGACACTTGCAAAACATGTGACATCTTAAATAATAAGAAAGATAATGCAGATACAGAATAAGAAAAGAAAAACTATGAAGCGCTGCGCTGCATGAAACACACCTCCAAAAGGCTGAGTTGTTTTATAGCAATTTTAAGGAAAAGTCTTTAGAAGCAATAGAAAATGAAGAAGTTGAAGTATTATGCTTCAAAAAACTCACATTCCGATTCAGTGGCTTCTTCAGACCTGTCGGTAGCTCTTCTGAGGAAGATTTTTGATATCTTTTACGTGTTGTTAAAAATTGTTTTGTTTATTTTGTTTGATAAAAGTGTTTCCTCACCTTCTTTTAAATACTAAAAAGTTTTGAATGTT